AAATGATGACCTCGGATGTAGCTGTCTAGAGGCATGGATATGATTTATAGTCTTTGCCCATTAATGTAATGTTATAATGTATATGAAGTATGTGATCATGATTAATCTTCATGATCATTTGTGACCACACCATTGATTATCCGGCATAGGCTGCCACACACCATAATATTGAGCAGAAAGTCATGCAAGAAATTGCATTTGATTCACCACATTGGCATGGCTGGCTGTATTCATTCTTACGTTTTCATGATCATTGTTTGGCTCACTACAAGTTTCTTGTGATTTAGGTGGATTTTTGTCACATGCAAGAAACAGCAAGAGCTGCAATGTGTACATCAGGGGGCTTTTATCATGCTTGTGATGTTGCTATTGTAGGTAAATGGCCACATCAGGAATGTACATAACTGTCATTTATTAGGCAGAAACTGATAGGGGCCAATTCCTTGTGCTCACTACATACACATGTACATCAGTGAAGGTTTTTCTGTTGCCAGCTGCCATTTTTGAAATGGTGCCACCGATCAACAGTTCATGCCACTCACCGCAACCGTAAACAACGACATGTGTTGTTATTTGTTATTAATTTTATTATTATGGAAATGAGTTACTTTTTTCTAAAATAAAAAAAAATTGATATTTGATAGTAATATCATCATGTATAAAAAAAAAATTAAAATGATTGTATTTGATATAGACTGAACATGTTGGGAAAAAAATAAATCTAAAATAATAAAATCCCTGCCTAACTACCCAATAGTTTTTACCCTAATACTGGAAACACCAAATTTGTTTTTCATTGGCCTCATAATGGTTTGAGATCTTTTTTAACATGATCCACATAAATAATGAGGGATGAACTGGGATTCTGTACAAACAGGTCCATGCATTTACATTCTATGTTTCTGGTTTGATGTTGACTCATTTACAGCCCTGTCATTGGTGATACAAGAAGTTTACTCCTTATAGCATGTGTGTGGTCTGTCGTATGCAAACCAACAATGCTGTTTTTGCACATGGTCAATTCACTCTGGTTATATGTCAGTTGACATTACCATTGCCATTGCCATGCGATAATTTCATTACTTT